TCGTCCGCTCTCATTCGCAGTTTCTCTCTCAGTGTCGGGATGTGCCGAGTGAGGATCTGCGCGGGGCGGCAAGGCTGGCTGTTGCGCTCGCCGCAGAGCCTGAAGGCCCCCACGAGCGCGCTGACATCTACTCCGACGGCTCGCGGCAGCCAGACCAGCCCGAGAAGTCGAGCTGGGCCTTCATCGTAGTGGCCAGATCCACGGGGTCTGGGAGAAGCCAAGGTACATGTGTGCGGCTTCCTGCGGGGCGAAGCAGTTGCCACCGCGCCGGGTAAGGTAGACCGCATCCAGCACCACTTTTGAAGTCCTGGGGATATACTGGGCCCCCTTATGGGTTCTCTCGGGGGGACGTGCGCTTGCGTCTAATGTGAAGCCAGAGGTTAGGTTCTACGTTGACAACACCACAGCTATAGCATTGGCACAAGTAGACGTGCTTGCTGCAGGGGTCGACCAGAAACTAGTGAAGGTCACTCGGCACGTGCTCAGATGTGCACGTCAAGTTGCAGACGTTCGTTTTTGTCCTCCACGCGCGGTCGCACGTAGGAAATCCATGGACTAGTGTTCCGACTCGCTGTGCGAAAGCGCTGCCGTCCATAGCCTCCAGCTACCTTCAGGCTCCTTGGAGAGTTTGGAGTTTCGGGGGTCCATGGCATGGGATTGGACCCGCGAGCTCCAAGGAGATTCACGCGCCGAGTATCCACAGCTGGTGGAGGGGGACTTCAGGGGACATCGGACTCCAGCTAGCTTGCGAGGCTCATTTGTATATGCCGCCGGTGGTAGGGCAGAGCGACCGCGCAGGTGAAAATAGAGTTCGCCACGGCCACATATAACGCATTGTCTGCCCTAGAGAGAGAGAGAGAGAGAGAGAGAGAGAGAGAGAGAGAGAGAGAGAGAGAGAGAGACCCTGCCTCGCTCGCGTCGCGACCCGCCTGGAAGATCAAAAGGTAAAACAGGTAGTTGGGCCCCTAAGGCCGCGAGGGCTCACGGCGCGCACTTGCGAGCCCGATTAGGGGGGCTGGGGTCCATAGTTTTGTCAGTCATTATGGAGTTGGCGGGCCAAGGGCAGATCGGGGGGTTCCTGGTAGAGGCGCAGACCTCGCCTCGCTAAACACAAGTGTGACCCTGGAGTTCCTAAAAAGCCAAGGCCGCACGGCTACCCTCTTATTTTCTGATTTGAAGGGTGCGTTCTATAGGATACTCAAGCAGTTTGTCGTGGACGCAGAGAAGCTAGATGAAGATGAGATTATAGATAGACTGACGGTGTCAGTTAACCTTGCCCCTGCTTGCTCTGCGTTTTTGCGGCGGCCGGCCCTCTTAGCCGTCAAGGCGCCTGCTCAGTTGTCTGACATGCCCACCGAGGCCGCTGGCTTCACCTGGTTCGGCGTGCGAGGGGCCGCGAACATAGCGATCCCCCGATGCGGGTCGAGGGCGGGAATGCCGCTCGGAGATTTTTTCATCGCAGGCTTTGCGCCTGCTCATGCTAAGGTGCACCAGGGACTTACAGCGGAGCGTCTCACAAGTATCAGGCTGAGTTCGACCGAGTTGATAAACCTCCTGGGCGGTTCCCTTGATGCACAGGCGTTCGCGAGAGCGAAGGAGGGGGCCCCTGCACCCAGGGTGACCCCTGCTTTTGTAGATGACATGATTACCATTACCTCTCCAGGGCAAAACTCAAACTGGCACGAGGCGGTCATATCAACATGAACTGTGGCGCATGAGGAGCTCATAGGCAGGCTTCACGCCTAACTATAGCAAAGGAACAAGTGAGCTCATGGTTGGTTTCGCGGGTCAAGGTTCAACGGCAGCCAGAGCCGAATATGAGGAAACATTTTTTTCGAGGTAAGTATATATGGGGTCAAAGTGTGTAAGACCGACGTTTACAAGTATCTAGGATTCTTGCTCCACAGGGGAGGGTCGCGGGGCCCTGAGCTTACGTTCAGAAGTCACGACCAGTCTGCGGCCCTGGTACCTTTTGAGGAGAACGGCCTTCGGGGGTCCCCAGCCTGGACAAGATGTCAAAGCTCAAGTATGCTGTTGCATTGTGCTCGTCTCGTTTCCTGCGCCAGACATCCCTGCGGGTTTGAAGCGAGAAGGCGCGGACGAAGGCTGCGGGGGGATATGTTGCTGCCAATCGAACAGCGCTGAAGTCAGAGTTCTCCCCGCTGTCTTGACGGGCCCCCCGTGCGAAACATTCTCACGTGCGCGTGTCCGCCCGCCCCCCGCGTCGGTCTTTGTGCCTTAGGATTATAAGAACCCCTCAGTTCCCGTGGGGGCTCCCGTCTAGAGGGGGGGCCGAATGGGATCAGTTCGATGTCTCAAACGCCCTCTTACGCACCACGATACAGTTTGTGCGCGTGCTGTGCGGTGGGAGCTCGGTTCATAGTGGAACACCCAGGGTTCCCCATGGAGCCCAACCTTGTGAGTAGCTGGATACTGCTGGAGGTAAGACAGTTATTGACAATACCAGAGTCAGCTTCTCTCAGCTTTGATCCGTGTGAAT